GACGTCGAAGAAGAAGAAGCATAAAAAAAAGAAGAAGAAGCAACGGCATACACTCCGCGCGAATTTCTCGGATCGGTGCTGTGCGCCGGAGGCGCTGCCAAGTGGGGCCCAGCGCCATTCTAAGAAGTCGGCTCAGAGCTCCAAAAGTGTATGCTTATTACCTCATTGCGTTTCGCTAGATGGTTTTCATTGAGGTAAATGGAGCCACGCAGTACCTCGCAGGGACGACGGGGAGAGGGTGCCCGCCCTTGCATGCATTGTGCTGCAATACATGTGGTGTAAACTTTGTGATGCAATATATGTCAAGCGATCTATAAGGTGTAAGTTATGTGGTGCAATTAATTTCTGTTCGCAGTGAGTTGTCCGCTCCACTGCTCGCGCAAACATTCCATCCACCCTCCCGCGACTTGGTTTGCAAACCTCATGTGGCGGCGATTGCGATGAGTGCTTGGCGCTGGCTGGTGCATCTGCGGCCGCGCCAGCCAGCGCATGCGCGCGCGCGCAGCGGCCAGGTAGTTTGGCGCGACCAACGCGGCCGCGGTGGTGCTGACCCGTCGGCACAGCGGGCACTTGAGTGCGAGTCGGCGACTTGGGCGGGCGCGGTATCATGGCAACGTCGACCAATGTAGACATGATGATGATGCTAGTAACGATGTTGGTGGCGATGTTGGCAGCGACGATGGCACGGCCAGTGACGGCGCCGATGCCAATCACGCCGACGACGATGACGGCGTCTTCGCGTCGGGGATGAAGGTTTTGGAAAGAATTCGACATGCGCGCGGCAGACGCGCGAGAGTGCCTTGCATGGTTTTATTTGACACGGATCGTGCCACCCCAGCACGCGCGCAAGGGCGTTCGAACGATTTGGATATGCGCGCACGCGAAGCCCGTTTGGTAGCATTTTTTGAAAAGTGTTGAACGACGTGTGATTTTCTCAAGAAGTTGCAAGAGCGCGCGCGCGCTTTTGTTGAACATCCGTGTTGGGAGACCCTGTGCTTTTGTATTTTTTGGACACTCAATGTTGACATCATTCCGAAACGGAAGGCTCTTGAAGGATTTCGGCATTCGCGCGCGACGACGCGCGCGTGTGTACTTCGTTTCGTTTTTTTTTTGTAGTGTGTTCTTGCAAGTTTATGATTTTTGATGAACGAGTGTGCGCGCATAGTATTTGTTGCAGAGAATGGCGGGGAGGGGTCGATACCCGCTGGCTTAGGATGGTATGAGTTCATACTGAAAATGCGTGGGGGATAACACCGGGGGGATGATGGGGGTATATATATATATATTGAAAAAGAAAAGAGGGGATCATCTATTTGGTGGGATTAGTTTCTGTTCGCAGTGAGTTGTCCACTCCACTGCTCGCGCAAACATCCCACCCACCCACCCGCAACTTGGTTTGCAAAATCTCTTAAGACCGTGACGGTGGGTACCACATGGCACTTGGCAACAACAGCGACGCCGACGACGACAGCGACAACGACGATGACGACGCCGCCGACAACGACTACGACGACACCGACGACGTCTCCAACGACTTCGACGACGCCGACAATGACGACGACGACGACGACACCGACGACGACGACGACGACACCGACGCCGACGACGACGACGATGACAACGACGACGACGATGACGACGCCGACGACGACGATAACGACGACACGACGACGACGACGACGTCAACGACGCCGACGACGACGACGACGACGACGACGGCGCGACGACGACGACGCCGACGTCGACGACGACGAAGACGACGACGACGACGACGCCGACGCCGACGACGACGACGAACGTCGACAACGAAGACAACGAGGAAGGAGGGAGGACGACGACGGCGACAACGACGACAACGACGAGGGAGGAGGGAGGACGGCGACGACGCGAACGACGAAGAAGGAGGAAGGACGGCGACGCCGACGACGGCAACGACGAGGGAGGAGGGGGACGACGACGACGACAACGACGACGACGACGACGGCGACGAAATAGGAGGGACGACGACGAGACGCCGACGACGGACGACGACGACGAGGGAGGAGGAGGAAGGACGACCACGGCGACAACGACGACGGAAACGACCACGACGCCAAAGAGGACGACGACGACGAACACGAGGAAAGACAGAGGACGACGTAGGCGACGACGACGACGACGACAACGACGCGGGAGGAGGGAGGACGGCGACGACGACGACGACGCAAGAGCGCGCGCGCACGCTTTTGTTGAACATCCGTGTTGCGAAACCTGGTGTTTTTGTAATTTTTTTTTGGACACGATTTTGAAATTCTTCCGAAACCGATGGGTTTTGAAGGTTTTCGGCGTACGCGCGCGGCGACGCGCGCGTCTGCACTTCGTCCCGTTTTTTGCAGGGGATTCTCGCGACGGCACGCGCGCAAGGGCGTTCGACAGATTTCGACATGAGCGCGCGCGAAGCCCGTTTGGAAGCATTTTATGTAAATCGTGAAAAACCTATGGTTTTCTTAAGATGTCGCAAGAGCTTTCGCGGAAGTTTTTTAGCAACTCTGTGTTGCGAAACCCTGTGTTTTTGTATGTTTTTTTTGGAAGCTCGATAGCGAAATCCTTCCCGCACCGAAGGTTTTTGAAGGATTTCGGCATGCGCGCGCGACGACGCGCGCGTGTGCACTTCGTCTCATTTTTTGCAAGGGATTCGCGAACAAAATGTTAAATTAGAACAAAAAGTGTCACCGCATAGTGTTTTTTACAAGGGAACCTCAGGGGGGGGAACCAGGTTTGGCTGGGATGGTATGATTTCATATTTAGGATGGACGAGTGTGCATAATATATATATATATATATATATATATATATAATATATATATATATATATATATATATGAAATCATATTATCCCAGGGGGAAGCGATAAGTCCGGGTGGGGGGGAGGGGGGTAGAATCTATGAGTCTTTTAGAAGGGAGAATCTGTGTGGTGCCATCAAAATTTGTTCGCATTGAGTTGTCCACCCCATTGTCGCGCAATCATCCCACCCACCCGCCCGCAACCTGGTTTGCAAAAGTCATGTGGCGGCGATCGCGATGCGTACTTGGATGTGGCTGGTGCATATTTGCGGCCGCGCTAGCCCGCGCATGCTCGCGCGCAGCGGCCAGGTAATTTGGCGCTGCCGAATCGGCGACTTGGGCGGGCGTAGTATCATGGCTACGTCGACGACGGTGGACACGACGGTGACTGTAATGATGCTGGTGGCGATGGTAACGACGACGACGGCAAGGCCAGTGACGGCGCATATGCTGATCACGCCGACGACGATGACAGCGCCATCGCATCGGTGATTGAAGGTTTGGGATGGAGGTCGACATATGCGTGCGGCCGACGCGCGAGAGTCGCTCACGCGGAATTCTTTGACCAGGACTTTTCCCTTTTGCAGCACGCGCGCAAGGGCGTTCGAATGATTTCGACGCGCGGCGCGAGGGACCCGTCTGGCCGAATTCAATGAACATGCTGATTATTCCAAAAGATGATTTTGGCATGCGCGCGCGACGACGCGCGCGTGTGTGCTTATTCCTTTCTTCGCAACGGCTTCTTGTAACAGCGCGCGCGCAAAGGGCGTTCGAACGATTCCGACATGCGCGCGCGAGAGGCCCGTGCGGTAGCAACACGTGAACACGGTCAAACAACAGCCGGTGCTGTTTCTTTAGACAATGCAAGAACCCGAGCTCGCAGTTGGTTCGAAAACTCTTTGTTGAAAACTCAGGATTTTTTGTTGGTTTGTTTTTTGATATCTGTTTTCGGGACAGTCGATTATGCAATCCTTACGGTACACATTTTTCCGTAGGATTTGGGCATGTGCGCGCGACGGCGCACGCGATTGTACTTCGTTTCGTTTCTTGCAGGGGACTCTCGAACGCCATTGTTTTTGTTGACAAGCAAGTGCGCGCGCTTTGCATTTGTTGCAGAGGATGAAAAGGGGGTGGATGCTGGCCTGCGTGGGATGGTACGAATTCATGATTCATTTAGGACGAACGATGGGACAGGACCGCATGTAATTTGCAATGTGGGAAAAATGGGTGGCCATTAATTCCAAGGGGCGGGGGGGGGTAGGATCTAGTCTATTGGAGGGGAGATTTCATGTCTGCTTGCAGTGACTTGTCCACCCCACTGTTCGCGCAATCGTCCCACCCACCCAACCGCAATTAGGTTTGCAAGCGTCATGCGGCGGCGATTGCGATGAGTGCTTGGAGTTGGCTGGTGCGTCCCTGCGGCCGCGCTAGCCCGCGCATGCTCGCGCGCGTAGTGGCCCGTCAGATTTGCGCGACCGACGCGGCCGTGGTGGCGCTGACCGTTGGGCATTTCCCAGCGGGCACTTCACTGCGAGTCGGCGACTTAGGCGGGCGCAGTATCATGGCAACGTCGACAACGGTAGACGCGATGATGGTGGTAGCGACGCTGGTGACGATGATGACAACGACGATGGCACGGCCAATGACGGCGCATATGCTGATCACGCCGACGACGATGACGGCGCCCTCGCGTCGGTGATGCAGGTGTTGGAGGGATTTCGACATGCGCGCGCGGCTGACGCGCGAGAGTGGCCCGCACGCTGTTATTTGACACGGGTCGTTCCCTCCCAGCACGCGCGCAAACGGGGTCGAATGATGTCGACGTGCGGCGCGAGGGGTCCGTTTGGCAACAAATAGTGAACATGTTGAAAACCAACTTCCGTGAATAATCATGAGGGGCGCGACCGCATGTTTTTTTCTTCTTTCAAACATTATAACATGTTTTCGGGGCACTCGATTTTGAACTCTTTACAGCATTTCTTTTTGGGGGGGGGCATGCGCGCGCGACGACGCGCGCGTATGCACTTCGTTTTTGGTGGGGTTGGGATTTGCACTTATGAATTTTGACGAACGACTGTGCGCGCATAGTTTTTTTGCAGAGGGTGCGGGGTGGGGCCGATACCGGCGTGCCGGGGATGGTACGAGTTCATGTTTTGAATGGAAAAGGAGGCAGCGTC